TCAACCCATAATGCCTGGATTTACTTTTGCTTCTATGTCCACTCGCTGATGTTAATATTTTGCACAGCATTCTTGCTCAATCCCTGATGAGAACATACTTCGCTGTTATTATTACGATGAGAATTATGATCGCGATGATAATTAGCATAGCCATTTTCATGCTTTGTTGTTATCATGATTTTTAAAATTCTTGTGATCATGATCACAATTTAGCTTTTTTATCGATCGCATTTTCGTGTCGATTTAAGATCTGTCAGATTGCCAACCGTTCGTTGCAGACTGTACTGTATTTTAAATCAAACTAATGTTTTATCAATTCGGCAATAAAGGCTGGTATTCTTTTTGTTCTTTTTTCTCGCTTTCCTCGTTTTTGTTCTTTTTCCTTCTACTTCGCCTTTCTCAAGTTTGAATACCGCACCTGGCATCTTCATCATCATCATCATCTTCTTCTTCTTCTTCTTCATCTCCTTTCATCCGTTTTCTTTTTGCAGGTTTATTTATTTGAGGTGGCTCAGGCAGTTAAGTGCCGAACTGTTAGTAGAATAATCATATGTTTAAATTTCGGTTTGTTCGATCATACGTTTTTCATCATTTAGCGTTAGATAAATGAGTGACATTTTGTGAAAAAAAAACGGAAGACTCTGCGCTATAGAGTGATACCTAGCTGCTGAAAATGTCTGTACAAATAAGGCACTCCTGATCGATGTCGTTGAAACCGACGAAACATCAACACTACCTCGTATGCTTTAACAAAAGACGAATGACGCTCACGTTGACAGTGTAGCAGAGGCCTGAATCAATAGGGTTAGAACCTTTTTTATTTTCCACTCGCTTATCTATGTCTAGTAATCTTGATATCTGCCTCATGATTTTCTCATTTCTAATTTTTGCAATTCGTTGCATTTTTTCTTGTCTAACCACGATATTTCGGCATCCAGATCTTTATTTCGTTATTGATCGTTTGTACTCTTAATTCGACCGTTTGATCCGATGGGATCCTCATGTCGCACGCAATCTGTTGTTCCGATCTGTTTCGATCAGAGCGCCTCTTGTTTATCAACGAATCGAACACATAGATCAAAGCTAGACACTGCTGAACTATGGACAATTCATTTGATACGATGCAGGCTTCTTCTATGCTTCGGTACTAATTCTGCTGTGTTGTAAAATCACACACTTTCTAAAGTACTGCATTTCTGAAAGCATTACTTTCAATTAAGCACCTTGTTTAGTGAGTACGAGCGCTGCAATTCTGCAAGCAGATGCTGACACGTGACGTACTTTCTTTGCCTCGTTCATGTGACGAGAATTAACAATATCAGGGCAATTACAAACCCTGAGCATCAAACAGCCACTTTTATTACTCTGGGTGTCCGTAACAATTAAAAAAAACTTCCTATTAAATGGGAGCAGCATGTTCAACAATATTTGCTTTCGAACTTGACAGACTGAGGTTGAGGTTCGTTTATATCAACGGCGTTATACAAACCTTACTGCAGTGAATATAGGACATCTGGTCTGCCTTTAGTAGATCCAAATTTTATCACACAGTGCTGGTCTGTTGTGATGTGAATCCATCCCCGTAGGGGGACGGAAGAAATATTCATACGAAAGTAACGATGCGCAGTTCTGCCTGTTTCACGAGTTATATTCCAACACAGTATGTATAAAGTACAACACAAACGGCTTTTCAAGACATGTCAGTCACTAACGATTACCATCCCTCAAGAGCTCCTTAATCCGCAACGGCCGACTGGTTTTTTTGTACTGTATTATGATTGTGACGAGCTATCCATGTGCACCTGTTGTAAGGTCCGACATCTGCACTGCATGGCTGACCGATGCCGTTCAGTTGTCAATGCTGTGCGGTAATATCTTTACCGTCACCGTATGTTCGCATGTAGTACTGTAATAACTCATTCTTCGCAGGAAGACCTCGCAATGGTTCTCTTTCTGACAGAACAATTGTTCTCAATCTTATGGATTGATTGTGTTTACTGTAAATCATTTTTAGTAATTTAAGCTTCTGTTATAATGAAACCATGTGTGTACATCGCGTTGAGCGACAAGATCCACAGTAGCCCGGATGAAGTACGACAAATATGTTCACCCTAGGTGTGACAATTTCCATCAAGTCATGTTATGAATCCGATAACTCATGGTTTGTCAGGCAAATACATGCTCTGTGAGAGGTACATTCGCTCTTATAAGATAAATCTGCTTATAAGAAGGATACCCTAACCACATATGCAGATGAAAAGAATGCCTACCCAGTTCCTATTTATTCAAAACAGTTCATCACTAATTTTATGCCATTCATTTTTTTAAAAAGTAAAGCATTAGTAACGACGTGGATGCTACACGTTAGGAGCAAGATTCGAGGTTTATCTCTATTCGAGTTTTAATCAATTGATCATTCAACGTTTGTCAGCGTTGCTCTGTTCACGGAAATTTCACTGCTATTTTGAAATACGCATAAAAATTAAATCAATATTTATTCTTTATCATAGATTTATACAGATCGAGGTACATCCGCAAAAACTGGTATTATTATATTTTTATTCGATACAACAAACTGGTGATGGTTTTCATTCACGTATCGCAGGTGCCAAAATATTATGGAGCCGTGGCCTGTTTAAAAGGTGCTCTAGGGCATTAGAAACAGGGGACTGTGTGACCACCAGAGCGAATCCGTAGAAGTGATATTAAATGCACAGTTTAGCATTCATATATACTGCACATTAATCAACGTTCATATATTGCCCCACATAAGTGTCACACTGAAAATACGGATTAATTCAATTAATTTTAACACGAACTAAGTGAAAATAACCGTTACCTAGCTGAATCACCGTTGAGTTATTATTATACAGTTCAGATATTTTAATCAACATAATTAGTCTGTAATTTAGGAAAAGGAAGGGAACGAAAATCTTTTGGCATCATTTGAATGTCGGTTTTCCTGATTTCCGTTTTATGGAAATGGCTGTTTTGAAGGCAGAGTCTGCGGTTTTGGACTAGCACTACGTGTAGTATCTTGCTTCTTTCCCACTGAATGGTACTTTTTTACCAGCATCATATGGAAGAAAGGCGAGTGACCCCAACCATGGCTCGAACCCGGCACCTCTGAGTTTTGAGTACAGCGCTCAACCGGCTGAGGAGGAACCCTAGCCGGAAGCTGTAAATTTTGGCTATAAATTCTCTGATCATGTGCATTTGTAGTTAAATCA